TAGGCAAATGAATCCATTGAAAGTTTTTTACTCATTCAACTATGTTACAATGGAGGCTTTCATCTCTACCTCTTGTGTGTATTCCCATGTCGTGCCCTCTGCTTTCAAAGGCTTAGGTTTTCCTTTAATTGTGTATTGAGGACAGCCTTTGTTTCTAAGCCTTTAATAATGGATTTTTCTTCTATGCTAAAAGAAGAATTTGTCTCTCTTCTGGCTTGTCTCTTAAAGCCAAAGTGACAGTTCCCTCTTCTGAATGAAATTTACAAAGCTTACTTTTTAATTTTCAAGAGACAAAGGGTGGGGAGGGGGGAGCCCCTAAGCATTGCAAACACTACAGCTAGGAGAAGGTTTAATGGTCTAGAAACAAAAACTGCAAACTCTCTGGGTCATTCAACATTAGTTACACTAAACTGCAGTTGTTCTAGATGGAGCCCTGCCAAAAGTGCTGGAAGATGAAATAGGTTTTAGCCAGTTTGCTGCAAGCTAGGCCACCCGGATTCCTCCACTTTGCAGTTGAAAGTGACGTGCAAGTCCCTCAACCGCCAACCTCAAACTCCCCTTTTCTAGGAGGCCCAATAAGGCTCCCCTGTCTCTGCTGGTTCCGATCTTCCTGGCCTGTTTTCATGAGAGTGGGTAAGAAGCAAGCCCCTGCAACCTGCCCCCTCCTCCTAGTCCCAACAGACCTTGCGTTCTTCCCCCTGCCCTGCAAATTGCTTGGGGCTGGATAAGGAAGTGGAGTCTCTTCCCAGCAGCAGGAAGAGAAATCAGAATGTGTGTGTGACAATTGTGTGTGCATTTAGAGCAAAGCCCACACTCTGATATCCTCTGCTTGTGTACACATCCTTGCGGTAGCTTGATGAGAGCTACCATGGGTATACATTGTACATGTTCATAGCGCAGATGAAAGGAAACGGAGACAAGAGACTAGCTGAGAAAATCAAGTCAGGCTTCAAAAAAATTCAGAGACTTTTCAAAGTTGGATTCTGTTTATTTTTCTTCTGGTTTCTGAGCCTGTCGGGTGCATTTGAGTCACACATTCAAGCTTTGCTCAGCAATCATGAGAGCTAGAAATATTTTTAATGACAGTTGAGTTTCTCATGTAATGAGATGACTGGGGCTATAGGAAAAACACCACACCATGAGACTCGCAATCAGATCAGACAATTCTATCTTGGGGCTGTGAGAGCTGTAGTCTAAGTCAGCTGTTGTGAAGTTCAGTCTTCTGTAATTACAAGTTTCCCTCACTGGTCGGCAGTTTCATGATTCAAGTGCACTGACTTTAGCCATCGCTGTGAGAGGATAGGTGATCTTGCAGGTATCTAGGGCCAGTCCCATGGAGGGTCTTGAAGGGGCAGAGATCTTGCCCTGGACTCTATTCAGCGGGGAACCAACCAGTGCAGAGTGTGGAACACTGGGCTGAATGCAGTCGTGGTGAGCCTATGCTGGTCTGCAGACAGGCATTTGGCAGCAGCTGGCATTGATTCAGGGTGCATGGCTTCATTCCTAGATATGAGCTCCAGTAACCACTCCTGGAGGTTGCAAAGGTGAGGATCGGCATCCTGATCTGGATCCCCAATCTGGGCTCTGATACTGCAGTAGTGAGCACTGTATTCAACACCCATAGAAAAGCAGAGCTGAATTTTGTAGCCTGATCCAGTCTTTTTTTTTTTTAAGCAAAATCCCAGACGGTGGCTTTCACTGTATTAATTATTAAACGAATAGGAGAGCAGCCTTCTGTCTAGCTCAGCTGGCACTTTATGAAAAACAGCCAGAGTCAGTCAAAAACCAGCCATCCAGCTAGCAAGTTGCCAATGCTTTCAAGGAGTCCAACCTGTCTGCTGGCCTTTTCCTTTTCAGAGCATCCTGATGCTTACTGGAGAGCTTCGTCTTATCGCTTGGTTAAAGGCAAAACCAGCAACAGCCAGTTCAGTAACTGCTGGGAAAGGCCCACAAACGTGGTGATCGATCCCGGCTTCCACCGTTTCCAAAGAACAGTCCTGGGGCACTTCTTGCCATATGCCTCTCACACGTAGCCCTCCTGGCTCTCTGTTCCAGCACAGTATGTGGAATGAATTGCTAGTTGATGCAAAAAAGACGGTCTTAAAATACGTGATGCCCATTAGCACTCAAGAGTGCAGCTTTCTCATTCTCCAGGAGGAGAAGACATGAAAGTAACTTCTCTCTGGACAGAGTGGCTAAGAAATGGGGAGGACAAAATAAAGAACAACCAGGCTCCTTGTCAAGAGACCCCTAATTTCAATAAGGGAAATGATAAGATATCTGGAGGGCAGAGAAAGCCATGACAGGGATATTGTTCCATGCACAAGCTGTTGCCTTGTGTAGCGGGGTGGTCACCCACTCCTGGCCTGAAAGGGGCTAAAAGCCAGCCCTTGGAGAGGGCTGGGGCTGGGATCCTTAGGCTGGGCTGATTGGGAGGCTGTCTCAGCTGTGCCCACACCCCAGACAGACCCAGCTAGCCCTATAAAGGCCAGGGAAGCCAGGAGCAGACACACAGTCTCTCTCTAGCTGTAGAGGGAGATGGACCTGGCTGCAGGGACCTTAGCAGAGTACCTGAGTGGAGCAGGGCTGGGGAAAGGCAGAGGAGCTGGGGAGGCTCCAGCCTGGAAAGCCCCAGGCTGCGGCCTAGCAGAAGGCCAATGGGTACTGGGCGTGGCAGAGGGCAGCCCAGGGGTAGGCAAAGGCAGCAAGTCCAAACCCGACCTTGCCGGTGATGAGTAGGCTGATACTGCAGTCTGCACCAGGGCACGGGGGCTAGACGATGACTGGCAGTAGCCTTATACTGAGGCAAGGTGGGGATAGTGGGTGGGGGCTCCCCGGGGAAGGGAGACCCTGAGACAAAGGGGTGACTGCCAGGGGGCAGCACCCCAGATAACGGGGCACCGGGTCCGGGAGGGACATTGGGGCCAAGTGGCAGCAGGACACCAGCCTGCACAGGGTACTCTGGAGGCTGGACAAGCTAATTCCAAGAGACAACCAGCAGGAGGCACCACAGGGATGAGTCCTGCACGTTTACACCTTGGTGTAGGACAGTAGTGTCCCTGGAAGCTGCAGCATGGGCTGGAAAAAGGATCCAATAATTACACACCAGATGGGGGTGCTAGAAAGCCATAAAATGACTATGATTCTCCTGCCAAGTCCATAATAGGTTTATTTGGGTGAGCTGAAGTCATTTCCCTGGCTTACTTTCATAGGCAGGGGTTTATAACTGTTGATAAGTAGTTAAATCCAGCATCACTTTCTCTCGCTCTGGATACACAGCAGTACACTAACAAGCTTACTAGGGCTAGCTGGATTCAGGGTGATCTGGGATGGAACTCTGCTCTGAACTCCGTTAGAATTCCACATTGGTTTTCTACTTGTGGAGCTAGAGTATAAAGGCAATCAGTGATACCAGTAGATAATATGCAGTCCCCTGCAAAAGTAAAAACAAGTCCTGCTTGGCCAGTGGGCTGGTTCATTCCTTCGCAGAACATCCCGTCAGACCCAGAGAACTGCCCCAAAATAATTCCTAGAGCAGATATTTTGGAAAAACATCCAATCTTAATTTAAAAATATGGAGAATTCACCACAATCTTTGGTAAATTGTTCCATTTAGTTACTAACACAGTTAATTTACACCTCATTTCCAGTCTGAATTTGTCTGGTTTCAATTTTCAGCCATTGGATCACGTTAGACCTTTCTCTGCTAGATTGAAGAATCCATTATTAAATATTTGTCCCGCAGGGAGGAACTTATTGACTGTAATCAAGTCACCCCTTAACCTTCTCTTTGTTAAGCTAAATAGACTAAGCTCCTTGGGTCTGACACCATAAAGTATGTTTTCTAATCCTTTAATCCTTCTCAAAGCTCTTCCCTGATCGCTCTCCAATTTATCAACATCTTTCTTGAATTGTGGGCCCCAGAATGGGACACAGTATTCCAGCAGTGGTCACCCCAGTGCCAAATACAGAGGTAAAATTATCTCTCTGCTCCTACTTGAGATTCTCCTGTTTACACATCCTGGGATCGCATTAGCTCTTTTGGCCACAGCGTCAGGCTTATAATTACTCAGGTCATCCCATTTTTTAAAATTGGCATATTAACTTTCTTCTAGTTGTAATAATTACCACATTTCTGAAGCTAATATCTGGGCACTCCCTACATACCCCAGGCTGTCCAAAGCCTTGAATAGCACTCTCAGAATCACTTACTTAAAGGGTCAGATGCCAAGCAGTGCCAGGGTGACTCCAGCACTCTGCTATATGTAGGCTTGGCAAATTTAGATTTTTAGTTTTTAATGCGGATGGAGAATATTTATGTTGAAATAAACATTTGTTCAATTTTGATTGCTTTTTAAAATGTTCAGTTGTGGGAGATTTTGGGAGGGCTTAGAGAATTATTTAATGACAGTAGATGTCGAGATTCAAGAAGTTAAAGCTTTATATCTCATAAAACGTACATCGTCAAAATACACAAAGTAAATAGCCTTAAATCAAACTCTAAGTTCTCAAGCAACATTTGCATTATTTGCCTGTTTGTCGATTTCAATTATTATTATTGATGGAAATATCTTTTCGTTGGTTTGTGTGTGTACAGCGAAACTGACGTTTGCTGTCATTTATCGATTAAAAATCACATCCTTCTGAGGCAGGTGGGGAACTAATGCAGACACTCGTGCTAGTTGCCCTTGAGCACGTTTTTCTGCTCATCGCTTTGCAAATATCCCTGTGTGCAATACTACCAAGGAAATGAGTCTCTCTCTAGTTCTTCTCAGAGCCAACATAGCACAGTTGTTTGTCTGAATTTAAGCTGCAGAAAATACAGAGTGCTTAGAAAGGCACAATGAAATGAATAGAGCAAGAAAGGAAATGCATTGCGGAGAAAGCATTCCTCAGATGCCAGTTTTGAGGGTCATTCCTCATTAGTCCTTTAAGGCCCTGTGGCTGAAAGGTACCCCATGTATTTACTCCCTATATCAGCTTTCTTGGACTGTCTTGTGTTTTATGTTGTGTTCATAGCATACCAACAGAGAACTTAGATAAAAACATAAAATACTCTTGCTGAAAAGTGGCAATGTACCACTGCTTTAGTTCTTAGAACTCAAAAACATAGAGAGCAGCCTGCTTTCTCTCGCCCTGCCTTACTCTAGACTGGCTTTCTGCAGATTGAATACTGCTAGGCTCAGATTGCACAACTCCTTACAGAACTCCAGTCTGCAAGCAGGACCAGGAAACCCCCTGAGATTTAAAGTGGCAGCTTGTAATTTTTCGATTATTGGACAGTACTCTGCCTTCCCGAAAGTGGGCTGGCCACTGTGCCTGCAAGGCCCTGGGAAGAGCCTATTGCGTGCATTGGCAGCTCTGGCTTGGGAGACTGAGTCTGTCCTGTGCACGGAATGCCAGCACGGCCAACGTGTGTGCACGTATTTCATATGGAAGGCAAGACCCTGGTTTTAACTGCATGGTTTTATTGTGTAATGGAGGTTGCTGATGAAGTACAGATACACTGAGTAACTGAAACGGGTCATCACCCAATGACAAAAATACTGCCACTGCTTAGGCACGGACCCATGAGTGAACCTTTCCACTTTTTGTGAATGTTGCGATAGGCTCTTCAGGACAGATATGCAAGGTGGGCAGTAACCTGTTAAATGATACTTGGAGGTCTGAAGTCTGAGAGCAGCAGTCTTATTTCAGCGCCACGCTGCATAACATCAAGTCGAATCACACCAGCGGAATCCATCCCCCAAGCACTGCATATGAATGAGAAGAAGAAACATTATCACTATGGTGACACATCCTTGTGAGACCCCAATCTGGATTTATTGAGGTAGTAAAACTCTGCCGTACAGACTGTAGCTGAATAGAAGACTGCAGTTTATAATGCTACCAATCTGGCACTGTTCATGAGTACTAAAGATGTACTTTATTTTTTAAAAAGTTACATTAACGGGCACTTTCTCGGCATGTCTGCGAACCAGCTGCTAATACTGTGGTTTGCTACTTACCATCAGCGCTTGGCAGCACTTCTTCTATTCATCTCGCAAATGACTTTTATTTCAGTAATCATGAAATAGATCGCCTATTTTAATCAGCCTAGTCGTGCAATGTTCCTCCTTCCATACTCTGGGCCTGATTCTGCTGCTCTTGCTCCAGTCAGGAGTCCCATCAGCATCAGTAATCAAGGTTAATTAATTAATTTCTGGAAGCACTATTCCCAAAGGCTTCACTGTCGGGAAGCTCTTGTCGTATCATATGAAGGATGCGTGTTATAGTTACCAGCTGGCCAATGCTTTGCTATCCCTGTTGGCTCCCTTGTCTTTGGTAGACTGTGGTTTCAAAGGAGATATAAACATTAGGAGCCAAATTCAGAGGTGAGTCAAGTTACACCAACTTAATCTTCCAGCTCTGCAGGCTCTATCTCCCACCCTTCATGAACTTACACCACCTCTTCCGTCTCCGCAGCCTGGCAGCTACACCAGCTTCCACCCCACTTCTGCAAAGACTGCTGCGAGTGTCCGAGAACACAGGAAGGAACTTCCTTAACACACAACGTGTGTGTTTGTACAGCACCTACCACAGTGGGGCTCTGGTCTTCGCTGGGGCCTCTGCACAGCGCTACTGTAATACAAATAGACGTGTTCTCAGGGCTTAGATTTCCTCGGGCATCAGAGAAGGGGGTGAAAGTGTATCTAACACAGCCTAACTGAGTGTAAGGAGGACTGAGCCCCCAAGGCTGCAGGTTACTCCATGTGGGCAGGCCCCTGAAGAGTTTACAGTCTAAAGAGACCTGCCACAGGTAGGGAAGAGATATAACACAGTGATGGCTGGCCACTGGCATGTTAGTGCTGTGATTTGTTGTTGCTGGTTTTGTTTCTCTTTGTGGGGGGCGGAGGGTCAGATTTGATTGGAAGCAAATGAACTAACCAGAGGAAGTGGGAAAGGGAGCTCAGAGAAAGGGGAAGAGAAGGGGATAGGAGGAAGTTTCAATGAAGAACAAAGCAGCAGAGGGGAAATTTGGTAAGGGGCTTTCCAACCAGAGATTGCAGAAATATGCCTGTGAAAGACGGGATTCAATCTGAAATTACAACTCTTCCGTAAATGTGTTCCATGGGGCTGCCTTTTCCCTGCTAGCTGGCAAGATGTGAGCTCCCTGCGGGCAAGGAGTAACTCAGTTTGTGCTGGAGGGAGTGGAGAAAGCACAGCACTTTGATCACTGCTTCTAGGCAGGTTTCAACACACTGAATTTTTCTCAGCCAAGTGCAGTTCCGTTCACTTGCTTTGTGTTTTTGGTTGCCAAACATTCTGGTTGAGGCTAGGCAACCTGCACTCCCTCCCTGAGAGATGCCGAGCCTCTGGTCTGTCCCCCTCTCCTGCTTCTGCAGTCCAGAGCTCTCAGGGCAGACCACTTCCCAAGGGCCTGTATGCCCTGAGGGTAGGTAGAGTTTAGCACTGATGTCAGGCTGTGGGTGGGAAGAAAGCCGGTTTAAGGAGGGGGTCTGGTCTGAGAGGAGACATATGGAATGGAGAGCAGAGCCCTGCTGTTTCTCAGGGAATGAGTTTTCTCACTTCACCGGAATTTCCTGAACACCATCTGGTAGCCAGTGAAGGCACAGCTTAGCCCATGGAAGCACACCTCTGCCCCAGGGAGAGAAAGAGTTGCACTGCCCCAGGGATAATACTGGAATGTAGAGGCACTCCCTGGTGCAGGGGGAGCATGCACACCCCATCCCGTCAACAGGTGCAGCATACACTGCTGCCCAGCCAGCTGGGCGGGGAAACAGAGCCATGGCTTCTCCTGCTTTCCCCATTGGGGCACAGGAGGCACGCAAGGAAGTAAATAGGGTGCCTTCCATGCAAGATGGAGCAAGTGGTAGTTCATTACTCCCTCCCAACACTGAAAACCTAAGGCTTGTCTAGATTAAGGAACTTGCACTCGTATAATGACTATACACTGGTGCAAACCACCAATGCAGAGTACTCCTGGGGGAATTCTGCGCCACTGCGCAATGCAGAATTTTGCAGAAATTAATGTTGTGCGCGCAGAATTTCCTTTTCCCCCCCCACAGAAATGGGCTGCAGTGCTGCTAGCCACCACTAGGGGCCACTGGACTTGGCAGAGCCCAGGTCACACATAGAAGACTGCTGGGGGGCGAGAGAGGGGGCTAGAGGGTCCCGGCAGCTGCAGTTCCCAGCATGCCCTGGGGGAAGGAGATGGCTGCACACGGGAAAGTCTGTGCAAGCCTGGGACTGAGCATCAGGCTGTTTCTCCTCTGGATCCCTGGGCTCTGGGGAGGGAGAGGGATAGGTGTCTGGGCTGGGAGGGGCATGGTAGGGCTCTGGGGAGGGAGAGTGAGAGGTGTCTGGGCTGAGGGGGGGGGGGCTGGGGTCTGGGGGGGGGGGGGGGTAGGGGTCTGGGCTGGGGGGGCGTGGCTGGGCTCCGGGGGGGGGGGGGGGTAGGGGTCTGGGCTGGGGGGGGCGGGGCGGGGGGCTGGGGG